GTCTATGACTATCCACATTACTTAATAGTGTTCCTTTCTTGGAAAAGCAATTAGGAGTTTTGTGACATGTAAAAAAACCCTACAGATTGACTTTTCCATGCATCTGATTTGTGCAATTGTGTTATAAGTCTTTAGGGTTTCCCAAGATTTCTCGTTTGGTAAAAAGACGGCTACCATAATTACCCTCTAGTAATGATAACTTTCTTTAACTGTCTAGGTTAAACAGTGATGAACTTAAAATTCTAAAGCTAAACAAAGTTAAATTCTTTAACTGTGAACCTTTTTCCTTAAACATATAGGAAAAATATTTTCATTTGAACTTTGTTCTAAAAGACTTTCTAGTTAGTTCATACCTCCTTAAATAAGATGACCCAACAGAGAATGTATTTATTTATTAAACTCAAGTGAGACTTTAGGACTGTTGGTTTTTTTAAAAGGCAAATTGTATGGTTTAGAGCTTCCTCTATTTATTTATTTTTTCCTATCCTTTAGCAGCCCTCAGAATGTTTGCAGTCTAGATCCGAAGTGCTAGTTTAGTTGAGCACATCAACAGAGAAAAGGAACTAGAAGAATTGGTCCAATGCTGCTTCCAGTCAGTCTCACCATCTTAGGCCATCATTATTCAAAAATACCTGTTTCCTTTCACCTATTGTTTCCAGGATATCTATAATGACACATCTGTTCCTGAAGACCCATACTGCTGGACTGATTCCTAAACCTCCATTTTTCATGAGGTTCTTGTGGGTAATCTTTTGAAAAACACCTCTTGAGGACTGAATACTCTTACAGTCACAGCCACCATGGAAATATAAGCAACGTAATCAAACCCATCTTCTGAAGCTCATAAAACGTAACCACATTACTCAAGAGAATGCTTTTGGAAAGAACGTATTTTTTAAACAAGGAAGGGTATGCTTGAAAAGACCTGTGGAGAAGAACAAGTTGCTCAGTAAACCTTTTTGGCAGCCATTCTGCTTCAACCAGGTTATTTTTCTCAGCTGTCCCACTACTTCATATTTTATATCTCAAATGCTATTAATAAATACACCATTGGTAGCAAAGGAATAAGTGCATACAGAAACTCTCTTTGGCTCAGTAGATTATTGCATGTATCAAGAGAGGTATATATTTAGACAGTTTTGATTTTCTGTCATGAATCATTTGTTTTTCTGCTTTATCTCAAGAAGTGTAGCTACTTACACTTGAACTGAGCTCATTAGCTATTTGCTTTATTTTAAATACTTGGTGGGTTATTATTCCCCCATTATGTATTTATTCAACAGTTTGTTCTTCTTGAGTTTTTGCACTGCTTTGTAGGCAATAAGCATAAATACCTACTTATAAAAGCTTGCTGGCAGTAGATGTCTGAATGAATAGTTCTAAAAATTATGGCCATATTTAAATCCATTTGAATCCATTTTATCAATACTTGTAGGCATTGGGTGGCGTTAACCTTTGAAACAAATGATTCAGCTCCAATCATACAAAGAACGATTGTGGGAAAAACGAATGCAAACCCACTCAAATATCCTATAAGCTACATGTAGTCCTCACTTAGCCACCCCTTATTCAACATCTATTCACAACTATTGTGATGCTGAAGAACTAGACATATGAAAGGTCCTCAAAGTTGTGGCCATCAGTGTCCCCATGGTCACATGATTGTGATTTGACTGCTAGGCAACTGGGGCACATTTATGACATTTGCAGCATCCCACATTCATATGATTAGCCTCTGAGACTTTCACAGCTGGATTCCAAGAAGCAAAGTCAATGGGGAAGCCAGTCACAGTCACATGACCTTGCACCTAATAAGTGTGGCTGATTTGCTTCAAGGCCACAGCTGGAACAGTCATCAGAAGTTGATGTGGTCACATGACATCGGTTTTGTTTAGCAAAAGAGTTCCTAGTCTCTATTGCTATCAGTAAGTGAGGACTGCCTCTACCCTGTAAGCTTAATTTTTCAGCCCAGTAGATAACTCCCACCATGATTAATCCAGGCCATACCCAAAACAAAAGCATGTATGTGACACATTTGTTTGTTTACAAATATGTAAACTTTAATATGCACAAAACTCAAAAAGGCAAGAGCACCCAAAACAATTACAAAGCACATTAACTGAAATAGCAATTGATTAAAACCAAGTGCCAATGAAACAAGGCACCTCATGTGCCTGTCTGCACAAACCATTATTTCACATGTTAGCTATTATTCTGTCACATATTTACTCAAACACAGGAGATTGTAAACTCAAGAACACCTATGGATTCCTTCTATCATAAGTCCTATGAAGTTATGAAGCCCTCAGTTCCACATAATTAAGTTCCTGATTTTTGGACCTGTTTAAATAGAGTACTAGCCCTTTTCTGTTTTTCTCTCTCCCCTGTAAATAGGTTGTCCTCGATTTATGGCCACAATGGAGCCCAAAATTTCAACTGCTAAGGCAAGACAGTTGTTAAGTGAGTTTTTCCTCATGTTATGGCCTTTCTTGCTGCAGTTGTTCAATGAAACACTACAGTTAAGTTAGTAACATGGTTATTAAGTGAATCTGGCTTGCCCATTGATTTGCTCATCAGAAGGTCACAAAAGATGATCACATGACCCTGGGACACTGCAACTGTCATAAATACATGTCAGTTGCCAAGTATCTGAATTATGATCATGTGGCCATGGCGATGCCAAAATGGTTGTAAGTGTCAAAACCCAGTTATAAGTCAGTTTTTTACAGTGCAGTTGTAAATTCAAACAGTCACTAAACAAATGGTTATAAGTTGAGAATTACCTGTATAGTAATTGTGCACTGCAATATTCAGTCTCCCCATCCATGGAAACTCCAGTGATTAAAATTCTGAACGTTCTTGAGTCCTCACTGGAATGGACAACCATATGGCTAGAGAAGGCTTTTAGTCTCTCCATGGGGGAGATACGAGCAAGAAGGTAGGCCTAAAGGCATTGGGGATGCCTTGAATCAGAGGTACTAATTTTTTTTCTCCATTTCTCGGCTTGTCATTCCATTTCCTACCTTGCTCCCTTGCTTTCAGTAGCATCTTCCATTTCCCCTGTGCTCTCAATGAATGTATTTCAGCCTACATGCATTCCAACTGTGCGACACAGAACAACAATTTCAGCAAAACTGGCATAGTTACTGTGTTGTTATATTAGGGATGGTACATGATCAGATGCTAATCATGGAGCCAGAATTTCCCACTCTTTCACAGCTGCAACTACTATATAATCGCTCCAGTTATCTGGACCTCCTCTTCTGTGGACACCTTAATGCCCCCTGTTTGCTCTTGACTTCAAAGCGAGTCTTTTCTCTTGTACCTTGCTAAAACTGCATTTTTAAAAACCACCCATTCATCATACAGGTCTTTTTAAACAGTTAGGAGGTTATGAAATTGCATTTGTGGTAATCTGTGACCTGTTTTCTGCTGCAGGATTGATTCAATCTTCAAAAATAATTGCCAGCTGAAACATCTGTTTCTTTAACTAGTTTCCTATAGCAGAGTATAATAGTGCTACATTACATGATTGGCTGAACAAATAAACTTTCTGCAGGCATTAGCTAGCCTTTAACTTAGAGCTTTTATGTAGCAATGCTATTCCGTTTCAAATTTCAGAAGATGCGTGAGCAGAGAGTTTCATTGCTGTCTCATGAAAATTGTCAATACTTGAATACTCAGACTTACACACTGATCAGTTCACTTGTTTCCAGAAGCATGCTTGCACTGTATTCAGATTGGTAGAATTTCTCTAGGATCTGCCTGTTTATAGTCAGGTATGTGACTTCTTTCTCTTTCTCTTTCTTTCTCTTTTCCTTCCTTCCTTCCTTCCTTCCTTCCTTCCTTCCTTCCTTCCTTCCTTCATCAAAATTTAAACTAGACGAGACCAGTAGAAACTACACAAATAGATGTAGACTTCAGATTTAGCAAAATACTTGAAATAATTTTCCGTTGTGATAATTAGCAGTTGTATGAGAAATTATAGTTATGACCAATGCCATGTTGGGATTGCTTTACTATATTTTGAGAAAATCTAGGACTTCGGTGGACTTCAGATATTGTTAACCTGTGTCCCGCAGAATTGGCAAATCTATGTTGCATACTTAACAGAGACATTTTTGTCATATTTCATAACATTGTTTTAAAATGATTTATTATCAGAACTGATTATTAGTTCCATCCTGTGCATGTATATGTCTAACTAAGCAAGAGACCTTAGAGTACATAGTAAAAAAATCTTTTTGGAAATAACCTAATCTGATTAATTCAAATTGGCTAATTAAAATTTGAATATTTTAGTATTAGGGAAAAAGGAAATTATATCAGCTGTTATATTACTATAGACATTTATGAATGATGTAGAAGTACATAGTTATCCATTGGCAACAATAGGCTGGATAAATAAATTATTTCATAGTCTTAAGTGTATTATGTAGCAAAATAAATATTCTAATTCTCTTTTAATTACTTTTTATTTGAATGTGCCAAAATCTATTTACATTGATATTTCCAAAATGATATTTTTTAACCTCCAAACTAAATATGCAATAGATAAACTCAAAAAGTCCAAATGAGTATTTTTTGGGTGTGCTGGATTTATCTTCTTTTTATAGCTAATGTGCAATTATGTGACCAGTGGACATTTAGTTTTCATTTCTATATATTTTGCTTCTTTTTAAATTCACATCAAAGACTTGTGCTAATAAGTATGAGACAACAGCAAGTTTAACTTATCTTTCTTTTTCCTTTCCCTTTCCCTTTAAAAAAAAAGAAAAAAAAAAGCACTGGGCTGTAGCTAAATAACAGAAATCAGGATAACTGCAGCAAGCAAATATGTTTGTGTGCCTTTTCTCCTACATAGATATAGTCCACCCTTTCATTTCTGTTTGCTGGAATTTGATGGTTTGTGGCTGGCTGCACCCAGGAGCAAGTGCAGCCACACAAACACACTTGGCCATACTGTATCTCTGTTACACTGTAGTCCTACTCAGGGTCACTGCACTGTACACATTACATATTTCTAGCAAACATGAAAATGAACAAAACAAGGAGTCTAGATAAGCGGAGATAAATTGGAGCCAGTTTATTACTAAATACAGTGTAAAATGGACAGAGCTTTCAATTGGTGCCTCTCTAGACTCTTCCCCCGTGTCTGTTTTTGACTACTGGAACCACATATAGTGAAAAATTAAACGACTAGAATAGTGGGACAATTATTTGGTAGAGATCCAAAAGCAATTGTGTTCAGAGTGATGTTTAAACCAATGTCAGGGAAGGCAAATACCTGGCTCAATGCCAGCACCTTTGTAAAGCATATTAGCTCAGATGAAAAGTTAGACTCCGAGGCAGAAAGAGAGAGCCAAAGAGCTCCTGGTGCTTATACTCACCTTGCTTGTGTTTTCTTCTGGGCTGGGATTAGCTGGATACATGCATGGTTGCATAACGTGGCTGAGGAGTACACTTTTGCCAAATGTTTCCACTAGATTTCTGCTCCCTTTCCAGGTGGACAGCCGGCTGCTGATTCCTCTTCAAGCACGGAACCTAGATAATGCGACGACGTGTTCACTGCCAGTGACAATGACCATGACCCTTCACACAAAAAGCTCTGGGGTTGCCTTATTGCACCAAATACAAGGCAATGAATTGGAGCCTCTCAGCAGACCACAGCTAAAGATTCCTTTGGAACGACCGATCAGCGAAATGTACGTGGACAGCAGCAAGCCTGGGGGGTTTAACTACCCAGACGGTGCTGCCTACGATTTTTCCACTGCCGCTCCAGTGTACAGCTCAACCAGCCTCAGTTATGCCCCTGCAAGCGAATCATTTGGCACCAGCAGCCTGGGAGGATTTCATTCCCTGAACAATGTTCCCCCAAGCCCTGTTGTCTTTTTACAGTCGGCTCCACAACTTTCGCCTTTTATTCATCACCACAGCCAACAGGTACCTTATTACCTTGAGAATGAAGCAACCAGCTTTGCCATGAGAGAAGCTGCCCCAACAGCGTTCTACAGGTAAATCCTGTCATTCCTTCCTTCCTTTCCTCCCTCCCTCCCTCTTTCCTTCCTTCCTTTATTTTTTTCTTTTAAAAAAAATACAGTATATGAAAAAGAGAATTAAGGCAAGGAAGAAGGAAATTCAATGTTAGAATGGATATGCCTTCAGGATGGTTGAGTCACTGCTGAATAATTAGACATTGTGTTAGTGTCTTGAAAATTAAAATCTTTGTTATGACTATTAAGTAACTATTCTTGCTGTGTATGCTAGAAATGAAGTGCTTATGAAAAACAAGTGAGATTTCCAACAGAAAATCTTTAGCCTGGGGAAAAACCAGAACAGAAGCCCCAATAATGAGTTACAAAAACAATAAACTGAAGCAAAACAAAAACTCCTCAAAGTGGAGACGCCGAAGAAATTAAAATGAACAATGCAAACTTCAGGTTTTGGCTCCTTTCAGTCCAGGCTGTTCCTGCTCTGAATTTATGTAGCTGAATTTGCACTCCACGGTCGGAAATATTTTGTTCCTTGTCTGCCTTTATATTGCACTGATTGACTTTTATACAAAATGTTCAGGATACCTGATGATTCACCTTCCCAAACAGTCATAAATGACATAATGAGAACATAAAACGGCCTTTGGAAAGTATACTTAAAGCTTTGGAATGTAAGGCTCTTTCTTTCTGCACACACAGAGAAAGTCTGTGATTTAAAACAGTGTTTTCCAAATGTATTTTCTCTACAATTCCTCCTATTCTCATTGAAGAGTTAAGACCTAATTTTAAACAGACTCACACACAAGCTTTTAGGAAAATAAGGGGGAGTGCCAGATCACTACTCTAGTAGGCCTGCAGCTATAAAGAGGCTCTGGAGGGCTTTGAAGTAGGTGGCTGCTGCAATGGTGTCAAGATAATAAAAACAAAACATAGTAGGCATTGTTTCACTTTCTTGGGTTTATAATTAGCTAATGCAAAATTAAAATAAAAAAATTACAGATATATGCACTATGCATAATGGATTTAGGATCAAGCTACCTATCATGCTATATTTGCAGTGGGAAGTTGCTCTTTTACTTTCTAGTTATTCAAAAGCAAGTATGTGTAGTTCCTAATCTGGGTCAAGACCCACTCAACTCTGCATGTAGAGTAAATATTTTAAGTTTTATTACTAGCTATTTGTCTTCCTACTTACTATCCATTAAAAAAGGAGAAGCAAAGAGAGCCTCTGTTGATTCCTGAATGAGAATTTGGAGAAAAGACCTGCATGTGTGTGCATAACTCCGCACGTCCACACACAGAATAGGCAGCAAAACTTAACATAAATGCATAAAAACATGTCTGTGTTACTGAAAAGAATATCCCACTCGGATCTCTTCTCCATTTGTTATTTTGTTTAATGTTCTTCAATAAAATATGGGCTTAATTTGCATAGGTGGAAGTGAACCTGTGTTAAATGTTAACAGTTTGGTTATTCTGCTTTTCACTTTCCATTCCCAGACATTTTAGAAAGTTTGTGATTGCTGCTTCACAAATCATAATTGGTATGTGGTTAATTTTGTGTCCTATTTATACCGCAGAACGTTTTTTTTTTTAAAAAAATCCTTGATCTCTGGGTTAAATCCTGCCTTCACTAATTTTAAACATTTAGCTAGTATTAAAAATTACACTTTTCCTAGATACTGGTCAGAAATGAAACCAAACAGGTGACATGAGAGTAACAGAAAAAAGAAAGGGAGTAGAAACTGTGGAGTCCTTGGTGTTCTCTGAACTTGGTTGTTTGCTTGAAGATGTTTCATTACTCGAAAAGAAATCAATAACAGATCCAACAGATGCACTCATTTTGTAGGGATAATGAGAAAATCTTACTTTAACTACAAGATGAAATATGGAAATCAGGAAGAAAGGATCTGAAAGCGTTTCTCACCTGAATGAGAAATATATCATGTGTAGTGAGACCACACATGGCTTTTGAGGAATTGGCCATATCTTGACATCTACTATGGTGACTATGTAGGGTGGAGAAAAAGCACTCCATGACCATGTTCTTTCTCGGCAATGGTCTTCTTGGCTGCCTTAAAAAAACCACCAGCACTTGATTAACACTACATTTGAGGAATGCCCAATGCCTGCAATTTCATTAAACCAAAGTCTCAAAAAAAGTGAAGATTTTCCTGAAAAACTTTGTTTAAAACTAGTAGCAGAAGATGATAGGTGTCCCCAGACAGGTAGCATACAGAACGGCTCCCTATCATTGACTGCTTTGGGCAATTTAAAGGAACTCAAAGGCAAGGCAAAGTCTAGATACTTCTTTGTTTGAGCCTAAGGATACCATTCTCCCTCCATGTATAGGAGGCAGTATATTTATAGCAGATGTTAACGCCAACGGGGAATGAATCGCCTGAATTGCTGGCTGCTTCTCTTCATTGGAAGAGAAAACTGTACAGGCCATTTTAAGGACTTTGACCGCCAACATATTGACATGGGCATATATCTTTGTTTTCAACAAGCCAGGGAATTTAGGAGGAACACCTGACTCTGATGTTACCCAGATGTTTGCTGTTCTAATTTTGGCCAAACAACTACTTGGACCCGAGGATCTGAATTCTCTTTCCTCAATACATTTTTACTGGGAAAGGGAAAGGAAAATACTTAATATTCTAGGATGTGATCTTATCATTTGTGGTGGGACATAGTATTCCATTGTGGTGTGATTTTCTAATTCAGATAATGGGAAAATTTTAATAAATATGAGAATATAAGTGTATTTTGAAAGGTCTTGGCTTTCTCTTTAGATTTACCTGAGGAGCAATAGGGAGTGTGGTGTGTTTTGTTGCTATGACATTCTTCAGATCCAAAAGATTTTTCAATCTTGTAGCCATTCACTTTTTAAAATTAAATATTCTTGGTAAATTTAAAGACTCTGATATTAAGTTAAATTACTGTTCTAATTTGTTAATCTGGATGCTTTTAATGGCTATGCAGTGCTTGTAGCACCTGTGAATTGGTCAGTGATATTATTTTAATAATTACGCAGTGCAATTCTGCACAGGTTTCTTTAGAAATAAACCCAAGCGGCCATCAGATTTATTCCCCAAAAGAGGGAGGACATGACTACTATTTTATCTATCTGTCTCTTATATATTTGGTGCTGTTTTTTTTAAAGCTAAATTTTCATTAGCCTTTAAGGAAATTGTTCAGTCCTGATAAAGTATTATTTATTATGTTTGTGGTCAGGAAATTTCTTTTGTGTATTTTCCTTCTATGATGGCTTTGTTTTTTGCAGATTTCTTTCAATTTATTTTATTTTTGGTAATGTTAATATAACACATCCTGGAAATGATTTATTCATAAATAAATTTCCCTGAAATGTAAGTTTATATACTATGGAAATCTCTCTCTCTCTCTCTCTCTCTCTCTCTCTCTCTCTCTCTCTCTCTCTCTCTCTGTATAAATTATATTTATTTGAAAACAAATTCTATTTTGTTTGATTATAGCCTTGCCAAAATGATTGTATATCCACAGTCTTTCTTGAAGATTGAAATGAATTATTCCCAGGTTTCGAGGTTGCGCTTTGTCTTTTAACTTTAATCTAATGCAAATTAAGTAGTGTACTAGATATTACAACTAGATGTTACTATAATAAAGCTGAAATATTAATTTGTATCTTTGGATGTTGAAATAATAAAACAGCAGAGATTTTAGCCTTGCATTCTTGATTCATAAAGTGAATCTTTATATAGAGTTGCATAGGATCTGGGCAGAAAAAAACTGTTTTCCTATGATTAATTCTAAATTTCTTATAGTAACTGAAAGCCTATTACAGAGAACAAAAGACAATGTTACTATTGATACTTGTTACCAGGAGTCTCTTATGAAGATGCTTCTATAAAAGGTTATAGTTGTAAGACTATGATTTTTTAAATATCACATTTGCCTGAAATATGTACACTGGTAACACTGATAAGCTACTATTTCTACTGACACTTTTCTGTTCTCCTAGTCTGGTATGAATTCACTTTTTCCAGTATGCAGAGATCATAAAGATAGCAGAGGAAGGCTGTTTTAAAACTTCATTACCTTCATTTTCGCCGCCCACAGTTCTGTGAAATTAGCTCATGGTGGCAGCCAAAGAAGAATGTTCTGTCTTTTACAAGGTTTTTCTTTTCTTAGCTGCAAAATGGGGGGAAAAAACATGATGTGTATCCAACTATTTTTACTTGGTGCAGATGATGATTGGGTTCACTTTTTAATCTAGTTTGAATCTTCCCGCTCACCTTCCTATTAACATTGATGACATTAGGACAGTATAGCTGGCTGTTTTCATAAAGCTTGAGCGTTGCTTCCCACCTTTGGATGCTTCATAAATAAAACACAGGAGATGGAAACAGATGTGCTAGAAACCTCAGCTCACAACTGCTTTTCTGTAACTTTCCACTGACCACCTAGTTATTAGATCTGAAGGTACACACAGTTCAGTGGCCTTCTAGTTGAGAGGAAGCTTTGCAATGTCTCATTGTCCAGGTTATCAGACTAGTCATGGGCATATAATTGAGCAGGATTTATTGGTAGAACTCTTAAGTGATTTGCAGTAGAATAGCAAATGTCTCCTAATTGTTCAAAAACAATCAGGGTTAAATTATCTAAATCTAAATTAGACAGCCAATTCCTGATCCAGTGTTTTTCAACCTTGACAACTCTAATATATGTAGACTTCAACTCCAAAATTCCCCAGCCAAACATCCTGTTCCTAACCCAACCAGTTCCTAAGGTTGAGGAATATTTTGCCCTAGTCTATGGGGCCATGAAGATTTTATTTGTACTGCATGGATATGGAATCCAACAGGAGTGTTCTGGAATCATCATTTTATGTCTGTTTTGTCCTCCCATGTACTAACTTGTTGATCAGTTGTATTATTCCTACTCATATTTTAACATGGTGATTTATCTCTAGATGTCCCTTTATTCTTCTTTCACTGCACTTTCAAGTTGGGAATATTCAGCAAAGTGAAGATGAACTA